AAAATTGAGTGTAAAAAAAAAAAAAAAAAAAAACCAAAGACACCCCGTTTCCCTTTGAGGGCACTTTGTCCTGGAGAGGGTGGCGGGCAGCGCGGGTCAGTGCTTCAGCCAGGGGTAGGCCTCGATGGACGCCTTGCTGCGGTCACCGTAATCGTACAGCAGCTCCTCCCCGGCCGCGATGTCGCGGGAGGCGATGAGGATGAGGTGCGGAACCCCGTCAATGTCGTGCAGCTTGGTCTGGCAGTTTCCGCACTTGCTGTGGTTGATCAGTCGGCCCAGGCGGTTGGTCTCCCTGGTGGCGTCCACGCTGGCGGGAGGAGTGGGAGGAAAGGGGGTTACACAGAGAAAGAGGGTTGGAACCCAGCCAGAGTCACCCCGACGCGCGGCCCAGTGGGGTGATGACTGACGGCCACGTCTGTGGGAAAGGCATTCAATTCAAAAGGTGCTTCTCCAGCTGGGTGTGGGGGCACACGCCCGTCATCCCAGCACCTGGGAGGCTGAGGCAGGGAAGATCACTGTGAGTTCAAGGTCAGACTGAACCAAATAATGAGACTCTGACAACAACAAACACCCTAGACACCAAAAGCTGTTACTGAAGATGGGCACAGTGGTGCACATTTATAATCTTAGCACTTGGGAGGCGGAGGCAGGAAGATCATGGTGAGTTCCAGGTCATCCTAAAAAACATACCAAGACCTTATTTCAAAAAGAAAAAGAAAAAGAAAAAGAAAAGAAAAGCCGTTTCAGAATATTTACAAGTCCGGGTGAGGAGCTTGGAGGTGGTGCATATGAAGGAGCATATGAAGGGCTCCTTCTTTTGTTGTGATGCTGGGGGTGGGACCCAGAGCCTACTGCACTCCAGGCAAGGGGTCGACCACCAAGCCCTTTTTTTCAAGCCAGTGTCTTGCTAACTTGCCAAGGTTGGCTTCAAACTTGAGATCCTTCTGCCTCAGCCTCCCAGGTAGCTGAGATTCCAGATATGTGCCACCCATCTGGCTCAAAGGGCTCTTTATGGAGGCATGGGAAACGAATGAAGAATTTTATAAAATAACTAAATAGATAAAACTTGCCCTTGCAGGCCATGGCCATGAAGGAGTGAGTAGCAGAGCTACTTTACTAAACGCTCCACAAAGGAAGAGGCCAGAGGAGCTGCTGAGAGGGTGAAATGACACCCAGGGAAGCTCCAGGTCCAAACCCTAGCAACGAGACAGGGTACGAAGAGCGGTCACAGCCGGCACTTCCCAAGAACCTAACCAACAGAGAAAGAGGAGCCCTGGGGCTCCCGCCCTGTGCACACCCCTGTCCCGGGGCGGGGGGAAGGTGCACTTAGGTAGCGGGGCTCAGGGGTGCACACCTGTGATGCCAGCACTCAGGAGGCTGAGGCAGAAGGATCGCTGTGAGTTCGAGACCAGCCTGGGCTACATAGTGAGTTCCAGGTCAGACTCAACTACATAGTGAGACCCTGTCTCAATAAAAAAAACAAACAAACAAACATAAAACAACCAAAGCCAGAATCAAACTAAATAAACAAGAATAACAAAAACAGGGGCTGGGGATTTAGCTCAGTGGCACTGTTCCTGCCCCGCAAGCACAAAGTCCTGAGTTCAATTCCTGGTACTAAAAAAAACAAACAAAAACAAAAACCACCAACCAAAATCACACCGTCGGCTTACCAGTAGGTTTTGCTGAGATATTGAAAGTAGTACATGTAGCAGCCCGTGGAGGGATCTTGTGCGTACAGCGCCTCTCGCTTCTTGGCATCGGTGATCTCGATGAGGTCCCCGTGGTACTCCACCACAAAGTCGCCCCGGGAGAACTGCTTCGTGGCAATCACGCCTCTGCCTTTGCCGTCGATGAGGTCGATCTGTCAGGAGGGGTGAGAGTTGTTTTGCAGTGGCAACAAGAAGCCACCAGGCAGGGCAGCCCTTCCTGGGCTGAGGCCTCTGCCACCTTCTTTACCAGCTTCACCCGAGCGGGTTCTGTGCAAACGAAGCTCACTCATCTCGTGTGCAGGAGGGAAGGGTTTACTAAGTGCACACAGTCGTACAAAGTGTGATGGAGAAATACGGTGAGCGCTTACAAGTTTAAAAGGTACTACAGGGGGCCATGGATGTAGCTCAGTGGCACCACACCTGCCTGGCAAGCATGAGGTCCTGAGTTCCATCCCCAGTACAAAAAAAAAGGCACATTGCCCTGAATCCCCCTCAAAACCCTCCACCGGAAACACACTTGACCCTTTGTTCCTGCCACTTCCTGAAGCACTGCTGAAGTCCTCGCTCACGTCTATGGCTGCACTGCTGTGACTGTCTTGTCCCAAATCGATTCAAACATATTTCAAGGTCATTTTGATTTTGGGGAAGTTGCCCAGTGCCAGATCCACTGAGTATGGTGGATGAGGGCACGGCGTCGTGTGTTTCCACACGCCTGCCTTTAAGCTGAGTAACTACGGCAGCAGAGCCCACATCTTGCAGATATACAAAGGGAAGAAGGGTTCCAGCACCGCTTCAGGAAGTGGCGAGAGCGACGGATCCGTGAGAGGCGAGGGTGGCCCGGTAGTGTCTTCACTGAGCTGTTATTTACACATACACCGTGCATGGGACTACACGACCAGCACAGCACCCACCAGAGCTCCTCCATGCCTCTGTAAACACTACGTGAGACCCTCAGCACACATCAGGGGCGGGTGCAGCCCCATTTTCAGATGGAAACAGGCCCAGAAATAGAGCCACGCGTCCAAGGTCACATAGCCAAGGAGTTGTATGGTGGGGTCTCCAGTCCACAGATCTAAGCTGTGTGGGGTGGAGCCAGTCTCTGGGTCCCCAGTGTCTCCCAGCCTGGGATAGACGAGTTGGATAGCAGTAGCATGAGGGCAGGGTCCCTTGGATCTGATGCATTCATCTGGCCACCTCACTCATCCTCCCCTCCCCACCAGGACACACATGCGTGGCACGTGCTGAGCGTGTATGGCCTGGGGTGTGGCTCCCGGCAGAGAATGTGCTCAGCGTTCGGGAGGCCCAGGGTTCAACTTGCAGCACCAAAAACTAGGAGAGTGGCAAATGTCTTGGACGTTGCTGTGTGGCAAACAGAGGTTAGGACAAAGTTGTTAGTTTCTCTTTCTGTCCATGCAGCCTGCTGCAGGGAGAGAGCCCGACACAAGAGCTCCACAGCATGGGCTCCCCCTGACCCAGATGAACAGGAGCCAGAAACGGGGTGGACAGGCCGCCAGGGCTGGTGGTGGGGTGACAGTGCCTGGGTAGCAGGTGCCCCCGAGGAAGATGAAACACGTCTGGAAATAGACGAGGATAACAGTTGCACAACTCTGTGAATGTACTAAATGCCAGAGAACGTGTACTTTATAAAATTACACTCAGGCATGGTGGCTCATTTCTTTAATCCAATACTTGGGAGGGAGGCTGAGGCAGGAGAACTGTAAAAAGTTCAAGCCTAGACTGGGCAACATAGTCCTTGTCTCAAAAAAAAAAAGATCAGAAGGTTGGGGTTGCTTTTTGCCACTGAGGATGCAGCTCTATGTGAAGGCTCTGGTGTCAGTCCCCAGCACAGCAAAAACAAAGAAACAAGGGCCAGGGATTTAGCTCAGTTGCACCATGCCTGCCTTGCAAGCACAGGTCCTGAATCCAATCCCTGGTACTGCCAAAAAAAAAAAAAAAAAAAAAAAAAAAAAAAAAAAAAAATTTCAG